TGTATTTTATGAAATTCTACCAGCTTACGGGAAGTATTAAGATTCAGCAGGATCTTATCAAAGAGAAACATTGAGCAAAAGCCATAGGCCAAAAGGATCTTGATGGATCACAAACTGAACATTTGATAAGAAAATATTTTTATTTGGCCATCAGGAAAAAAAATGTTAATAGTAAGAGCAGTTCACCAAGACTATCCCAAGACTGGTAGACTTTCCATTTGAAGTATTTAAAAAGAAGATAAATGAGCATCTGTCAGAAATATTGTAGTAGTGAATTCCTGCACTGGGGTGAAGGGGCTGGATTAGATTATTTTCAATATCCCTTCCAATCCCTCCATTCTTTTGACTCTATAATTAAAAATATCTTACAACTGTTTTAAGCACCTTTTAAGTGCTTTTTAAGTCTGTTTCTGTGTAAGCCTAAAAGACAGAAATTAAGTTTTAAATACACTTAATCGTTAAACATATAAGGAAGTGTATTTACAAACACATTTCTGTTATTTTGTGAACAGAATATGCTGTTGGAACCATACTTTCAATTTTAAATTGGTCATATCCTTCTATGGAATGTTTACTAACGTAAGAAAAACCTTGCCAATATTTTATTTTTATTCTATCCTCTTATTTTCTTTTGTGTGCTATTCGGCAAAATGAACTGAAGGGAAAATTGCTAATTTTATAAGTGTTGGGAAAACTTTAATCCCCCCTCCTCAGTATTATTGCTTCCATTATTTTTAGAAAGAAGTTTAAACTATGCTTTTCTTCAAGTACATGTACACATGTACTTGAAAACATGGACATACCTTAAAAGTCTGACTGCTGAGATAATTTATTGAGATCTTTCCCATTATATGTATCAAAAGTAAACCCTGTTGAGTTCAGTTATACTTTAAGAGAAGAATTTATGTCATTGGGTTGCATTGCATGTATTACAATGGATTATAAGCTAAACTACAAAGCATCAAGACATTTTAACATTCATGTGAGTTAGGGATCAAGAATATTTTAATTATCTTAAATGGTAACAACTTAGAACATTTTCTTCATTCTTTGCTTTTAGATTTAGTTTATTTGTTTTATGTATAAACCATCATAACTAAATTACATGTACTTCATAATTTACAGAGCTTTCCTGAACTTGGTATTCTAAGATTGCTGATGTGTTTTCATTTCTTTTAGATAACTGATATATTTATTTCTGCACCTACTCAGATTTATTTGAAACTACATCCACCAGTTAAGTCATAGAAATATGCAACTGGGGTCAGGCGTCTGATAGTTGCTGTCATGTTAACCTTTCACCTTCAAAACTTATAGGGCCTTTCAAATGAAATAGTGGAATGGTGACAAAGCATCTCAGTAATTGAAACAAAACTCTGTTTTCGGTATGCACTTCAATGTACCCTAAAGCACTTTATTAACAGACTTCTACTTTTGTTTTCCAAAAAGAATTCAAAGGAAGAACGGAAGAAAACCAGATTGGACTTTTAGTTCCACCAAGAACCAATTGGTAATGGATAACATCTAATTTGTTAGCTAAATCCCAGATGCCGTAGAAGGAAGTGGAAAAGGTGAAGCAGAGCACTGATTGGATTATGTTGTCTTTCCGTTTCAAGGTCGGTGTAATTGCCGGTCAGTTTTAAACTGCTTTATGAGAGAGAGGGAGGTAGGAAATCTATAGCATGGAAATGTCCTACTAGGGAATTTCTAGTTTTTAGTATGATGAAAAGGTACTACAGTCAGAAAACTGCATCTCATCCTCAACTGCTATTTTTTCCTGCTATTTCAGGAAATTTGTGCAGGGTAAAATGGAATTCTCTCTCTTCTTGCCTTATACATTATTGTCTAGAACAGAGGTTCTGAACTGGCAGCTAATTATGAATTTAAAATTTTTGCTCCAGTGAAAAATATCCAGGGAGATAAAGAAAGAAAAAAGTAAATGTTTCATTTCCCTCTATCTCTTTCAAATCCTGCATATACAAATTCAACTGTAAACTGGCTAAAGACCTGAAATAAAAATCTCCTAATTTGAGGGGCTGCTGTAAAGAAGAGAGGGTAAACCTATTCTCCAGAGCAGTGGTCCCCAACCTTTTTTGTACCAGGGACCAGTTTCAAGCACAAACACTTTTTCAAGGACGGGGGGGAGGGGGGGGAGAAGAATCCGAGTTTGGTGGTTTGCTTGCAGACGTTTCATTACCTGACTAGGTAACATCTGATGTTGTTACCTAGTCGGGTAATAAAACGTCTGCCAGCAAACCACCAAGTTCAGGGAGCGCCTCGGCCCTGCCTCCCTCAGCCCCATCCCTCAGGTGTCTCCCTCCCTCCGCCAGGTGTCTGCCTCGTTCCTCTCTCAGTCGCTCTCTCGCTGCTCCACCAGCCCAGGAAGAACCTGCTTCAAAGAAGCGGGGGGGGGGGGTAGCTTTTCCTGTCGCCGCAGCTCCTCCGAAGTGCCCGTTTACCCCCACCCCGCCCGCCCGCGCGTAGTTCAATCCACAGTGCTCCGTTCTGCCTGCCTGCCTGCCTGCCTTCGTTTCGGAGCAGCTTCGGCTGATAAAAAGAGGCGAATAGTTATTATTCTCAGCCGAAGCTGCTCCCAAACAACCAAACAGGCAGGCAGGCAGAACGGGGCACTGAATTGAACCACGGGCGGGCGGGGTGGAGGTGAACGGGCGCTTCGGAGGCGCTGCGGCGACAGGAAAAGCCACCCCCCCCCCCCGCTCCTTTTAAGCAGGTTCTGCCTGGGCTGGTGGAAGAGCGAGAGAGCGACTGAGAGAGGAACGAGGCGGGAGGAAACCGAAGCCGCTGAGCCAGAGAGCAGGACAGGCTTCGGTTGCTTCCTCCCTCCCCTTCTTTCAATTGTGTCCTTGATCCCCGATCCCAGCAGCATTCACCGAAGGCGAAGAAAGCCGCCATTTTTTTTCTTTGCGGCCCAGTACAGAGTGCTCCAGGGACCGGTACCGGTCCACGGCCCGGTGATTGAGGACCCCTGCTCCAGAGCAGCAGTTGCTGTTGGCCCACCAGTGGGCCGTGAGAAAATTTTGGTGGGCCACAGGGAAATCTCACCCCCAGAGCACTCCCCCCCAAAGCAATTAATCCAGGCTGCGCAGAAACACAAGGCTGCGCTGCCCACATGGCCCACCCACTCACTCCTTACCCAGCAAACTTGTCTGCTAAGTTGCTATTTTTCCTTTTTCCAACCATCATCTCTTCTGCTGTTCCGGGAGATTTAGATTAGCTAGGAAGCAGGAAATGGTTGGATTTCTTGCTTTCTAGCTAAGCACAGCCGAACTTCCCTTAGGACTGAAGGTTTGCTTGCAAGCAAATGCAGTGCAGACTCACGGCAAGCAAATTTGAGAGACTGAGCTAGCCGATGGCAGATAGATAGATCACTGAATGATTCTGTGAGCAACTCAATCTGCCTGCTTTGCCTGATTTTGAATTTTTTTAAATGAAAAATTCAACATTGACATGAATGGTGTGTTGTGAGTTAATTTTGTGAGTTTGCTTGCAAGCAAATTTTATGTGACAGACTGAGCTAGACGATGGCAGATGGATAGATTTCTGAATGAATCTGTGATTCTGTGAGCAACTCAATCTGCTTGCCTGCTTTGCCTGATTTGGGGTAAAAGTTGCTCTTTTTTATAAAAAAAATCAATATATAAATATTTATAATATTTACATACAAGCCATGACCAGCCAGTCACATGACCACCAATCCACACCTACAAATTAGGCCACACCCACAGAACCAGTTAGTGGTCCCTGGGATCTAAAATTATGAGTTTGGTGGTCCCTGAGGTCCAAAAGGTTGGCGACCCCTGCTCCAGAGCACCAGAAGGCAAGACAAGAAAAGACGGAAACTAATCAAGAAGAGAAGCAACCTAGAACTAAGGAGAACTTTCCTAACAGAACAATTAGCCAGTGGAATGGCTTGCCTTCAGAATGGCTTTTTGTCTGGAATGGCATAAGATCTGAGTTGAACAGCGGGTTGGACTAAAAGACTTCCAAGGTCCCTTCCAACTCTGTTATTCTATTAATTGTATCTGGATTGCTGTCTAGATGAACTTTTATGTTTCAATACTCAACTTCTAGGAATCGGATGCTGGGAGAAACAGATTTAATTAAGACAAACTTTTTTATCATACTGTTTTGATTTACAAAAGTATATTATTTTCTAAATTGAAAGACTTTAAAAGAATAATAATAGCTCAAGGATTTGCAGTTGATAGATTACCAGACCTATGGAATGTCGAATCATGAAGGTGTAATTTCTTAATATAACTAGTGAAAAACGGAAATTGAAGAGGGAAAGAATTTGGCTTTTTCAGGTTCTTCTACCTCTTTCCTATCTACCTCCCCTTTCCTTTGTTTCTTATCTTGCTTTCTTTGTTCTGCTCCTTCCTCCCTTGCCCTTCTCCCCTTTTTTATTTCATCCTTCTTTAATGCCTCCCTCTTCTTGCCTTTCCTCCTTCCTCTTCCTTCCATTTCTCCCTTTATCCTTCCTTCCCTTCCCAGAGCTGCTGGTTGGTGTGGGAGGGAACAAGGGATTGCAGGAAAGGCCAGGAAGTTGTTCAGGAATGTTGAAAATGAGGATCATGTGACTAAAGCAGCATGGCAGTGGTAAAGCAGCCAACAATCTCTGGCTCATTTTATTGGTTTGTTTATATCCTACATTGGTTTTTTTTATACACACAACTCAAGGCAGCAAACATACTTAAAATTCTTTCTTCCTCCTATTTTCCCTACAGCAACAATCCTGTAAGATTAGTTGGGCTGAGAGAGTCACTGGCCCAGAGTCACCCAGCTGTCTTTCATGGCTAAGGCAGGACTAGAATAGCAATAGGAAGAGCACTTAGACTTATATACTGCTTTATAGTGTTTTACAGCCCTCTCTAAGCAGTTTACAGAGTCAGCATATTGCCCCCAACAATTTGGGTCCTTATTTTATCCACCTCGGAAGGATGAAAGGCTGAGTCAACTTTGAGCCTGGTGGGATTTGAACTGCCAAATTACAGGTAGCCGATAGTCAGCAAAAGTGGCCTGCAGTACAGCATTCTAACCACTGCACAATTGATTCATGCTCTCCCAGTTACTAGCCTGGTTCTTAACCACTAGACCAAATTGGTTCTCACTGTGGAGACACGGCAAAGATTAGGCCTGGGGCAGTGCAATTTATGTTGATATATTGTTTTGCTAGTGCAAGATCAGAAGATGTGGAGAGACTTGGCTATAGAATTGCCAAGAGCAGGACTTGACTGAATGGATAACATCATCGTTTTGCTCACTCAAGATGAAAGGGATGCATCTTGTAGACAAATGTCATAATGGAGAAATTAATGAAGCAAGTCCAAGCTAAGAAAATAGGCAGGCCCAAAGGACTTCTCTCTAAGACAATGTACCTGTCATGCCCCTGGTGGAGACTGACTCTGAGGGAGAGGAGTGGAAGTGTGGCTCCGGAGGTTGTGGAGGAGGCTGGGGAAGGACAGAGGCCGGCTGGGAAGTCACCGGGGCCCATCTCTCCATCCTAGGGCACACAGGGAGGAGAGGATAAGGGAGAGATGTGGTCTACTCGGGAGGAGAGGGTCTTGATCCTTTTCATGGGCTGCAGCTGTGACAACTGAATAAGAGGACGGACATGAGTATGGGTGAGTGCTGGAAACAAAAGCGTGGAAATATCTCTATTCTTCTCTGAGTTTGGTGTCCTTCCCAGTGTGTGTTCTGATATCTGTGAACGTCTTCCAGCCCTTATCTTACCTGGTTTGTGTTGTTTTTTTACTCTTTATTAGGTATTTTTAGTTTAAACAGCATTTCCTCCTTCTTATAATTGCTCGTGTGGGAGTTTTTTGTCTTCAGTCAAGGATATTTGGAGCTTGGAAGCAAATTGAAGGAATAAAAGGGGCTTTACCTGTTTCTTGTGACTATGTTTATTTTGTATCCCACCCTAGGTCATCACAGAACCTTTATTTTATATTAGTAAGAACAGAATGCAATTTCCATATATGCATTGAACAGTTTAAAAGAGAAATGATTAAAAGAATGTAGGCATTTGGGAGTGTTTTATTTCCTTTATTATTATAAAATCTTACCTCATGAGCAAAAGTTTGCTTCTCTTATCATTTTTTTCATTCTTTCGTATCTGTTAGGAGAAAATAAATACTGCTGTTGGTAAGAAAATTTCTCAGGGACTAACTTTTCACACAGTAAAAACAATGGTATGTAGGCCATTCTCTGCCTGTACCTTCAACTAATCCTTGTTCAAAACTATTTTCTCTATTTTTTCCTCAAAGAGATATCACAGAAACTTTGGAACCAAGGGCAGCATATCTGCATCACAAATGAAACCCATTTTCACCACTAAGATTTCATCAAAAGCATTCACATTACATAATTTGAAATAAAAGTATCACATTTAATATTGTATAGAATACTTCTAACAGTAATTATTAACTCAAGCTTTATTACCTCTCATTGGGACTACTGCAGTGTGCTGATGTGTGTACATTACATTTGTGCTTTAGCCCTGCACTAGTTCCCTATTAGTTTCTGAATGTAAATCAATGTTCTAGTTTTACAATTAAAGCCTACATGTTTTGACACCAGAGTACATACATTTCAGACCACATTCTCTGCCTAGTTTCTACTGTCCTATCTTGAATACTTTGAGGGAATTTGCTTAAGATTCTCCACTCTTGTGAAGTAAAAGTTGGAAGCTTATAGGTATATTTTCTGCCTGTACTTTGGAAAAGCCCCCCTCTCCCAATGGCACTTGGTTTCTACAAACTGGTAAAAACAAGTATTTTGGAGAGTCTTGGAGGGATAAGTTGGGATCATCAGCTTGAGTGATTGGCAGCAGGCTAAAGTTTCAGAAGGCGGAGAAGATATGAGGAGCTGTTACCATTGCCATGATCTCCAGTTTTTGCCCTTTTTTTTTAACCAAAAAGATCTACACTTTAATTTGGCAACTAATGTGTAGCTGGATACATGTAATTTATTAAGCCATGGCTTAACATATTGTCTGAGCCCAGCTACTTGCAGCTGATTCAATAAGACAAGTTTAACAAGGCGGTCAGGTAGATAAAAAGGCAAATGTGTTTCAAATATGTATTTGTATGCAGATGCCATCTGTCAGGAACATCTTCAGCAGCTCATCTGAAGCAAAAGAAAGCAATTGCCCCTTTTTGTTTTGTGTGTGTATGTATTTTTCCAAAGTAGCAACTGAAAATCACTCCCTTCTTTCTTTGGATTATTCAAAGAGAATATTTAATGGTTAACCATTTCTATTTATGGTATTGATATCACACTTTTCCACCAGACACTGAAGCACTTCTTTCTCCAATTTTATTAATACCTTGATGAAATAATCCAGGGATAGACAACCAACAACATAGCTGCATAAATATAAATTTATAAATTAAATAAACCAGAATAGCAAAAAAATATTTGATTAACCCCAAAAATGTGGCCCTATCTTTTACATGCAAGAGTTGGGTGACAATATAATTTCTATACAAAACTTGCAGAATTTTCAAGGCTGGCAAAGCCAGTATGGAATGAATAAGCAGAACTTTACATTAAAATGGATTTCTGTGGTAGATCAGAATTCTATAATGAATGGCAGCAATTATCCAAGCTTTTCTAGAACAATTTTCACATATTGTTCAAAGTTACAACGGCACTGAAAAAAGTGACTTATGCCCATTTTTCAGTTATGAGCTTTGCAGCATCCCCATGATCAAAATTTGGACGCTTGGCAACTGGTTCGTATTTATGACGGTTGCAGTGTCCGGGGGTCATGTGATCATCTTTTTGTGACCTGACAAAGTCAATGGGGAAGCCAGATTCACTTAACAACCGGGTTACTAACTTAAAACACTGCAGTGATTCACTTAACAACTGTGGCAAGAAAGGTTGTAAAATGGGGCAAAACTCACTTAACAAATGTCTCAACAGAAATTTTGGGCTCCATTGTGGTCATAAGTAGAGGACTACCTGTACATCTGAACTACTGTTTTGCAATTTATATCAAAAAAATCGTTCTCTGCACGTCAGTGGGAGGTCGTTAGCTATTTGGACGAAAACTTGAGTTGAAACTCACCGCGCTACCTTTCACCTAAAAGACGGTTGGTTGCTCTCTTTGACGTTAATGTTGCCTCTTAAAGGGAAACAGGCCCCGCTTTACACATTTTTCTCGCCCGCCTTTGAATTACTACCATCAGGGGCCCTTTAAAAAGTGGATTAGTCACGCCCACGTCATCCTGGAGGTCACTTCTCAAATCCTGGGCGTGGGTCACGGAAGCAGCCAATCGGCATCCGTCTTAGTAGGAGGTGATCGAAGCCGCTGCAGAGAGAAAGAGAGAGAGAAAGATGGAGGCTTTTTCGGAGGGCGCGGCGCCGGTGGAGGGCCTCTCCGCCCTGGTTCCTGACAGGCTGCATCAGCGAGAAGCGGAACGGCGAGAGGAGGCGGAGAAGAGGCGTCGAGAACGGGACGCGCAGTCGGTGTTAGAAGAGCAGAGCGATTTTTTCACCGCCTCCTTTGCCCGCGAGCGGGAAGCCATCGAAGCGCTGCTGCGGTCGGAGCCGGCTCAGGGTGCCGAAGCGGCTGCCGAAGCCGTGTCAGAGGCGGCTCGGCGGCTGCAGGATCTGCAGCGGCTGCTGACGGATTCGGTGCGCTTCTTGGCTCCGTATGAGGTGCGGCAGGCCCAGGCGGCGCTGAGCAAGTTGCAGGGCGCGCTGTCCGAGAGGCGCCTCCAGCTGAAGCCGAAGAAGCGGTTCGCCTTCAGCAAAACCCTCAAAAAGGACCCTCCCTCGGCTCCGTCCAAGCCTCCCGCTCAGCATCCTCCCCGGGAAAGCTCCGCCAAAGACCAGAAGGAAGCGGCAACCTCCGCGTCGCCGGCTCCAAGTTGCGGCTTCAGCCAGACCGAGGGACGAGCCCTGGAGCTCGGCCCGACCGAGCTGCTGCAGCAGGACGTGGTGCTGTTCCAGCTCAGGCGCTGCCGGGTGCTGTTACGCGGCAACCCCAACACGCTGCTGGTGCGCGACTGTCACGACTGCACGGTCCTGTGCGGACCCGTGTCGACCTCGGCGCGGGTGGATGGGTGCAGCGGTTGCCTCTTGGCCCTCGCCTGCCAGCAGCTCCGGACCCACCGCACGACGGAGACGAGCTTCTACGTGCAAGTGACCAGCCGAGCGATGCTGGAGGACTGCAGCGCCGTGCGCTTCGCCCCCTGTTCGTGGGATTACGCGGGCAGGGATGCCGATTTCAAGACCGCTGGCCTTGACAGAAGCAAGAACAACTGGGACCAGGTGGACGACTTTAACTGGCTGGCCAAGGATCAGGCCTCCCCGAATTGGTGCGTGATCCCGGAAAAGGAGCGGATCACGGATTGGAATGGCGTTAACGGCCTTGCCTTTGTCGAGGACTCCCAAAACAGCTGAAAAGAGGGCTGACTTTTCAGGGCAGAATTAAAGCTGCGGTAAATAAGTCCTGAATGGCCCTTGGAATCTCTTTAAGGAGTATGATTGGGTTGCCAAAACACTTGTCCTGATAACCTTTCACTGTTTACCTGCTATCTGATTATGTGTCCTGAGACTAATGTTTAGTGTTGTGCGTGCTGGGGTTCTTTCTACAGATCTGTAATTGTAGCTGTTAAGGTTGTGTTTTTGTTCTCTTAGGAAGAAAACTTATGGAGCCGAAGATTTTAACTTCTAAAATGTTACCCAGTCAGTAACTTGCTCATCTAAATACTGAATAAAATTATTAATGTAGACATTGGCTATTTTTATCTCCAGGATGTGTTTGTGATATATGTGGATTAAACTCCTTTTGAAGAGTGATATGAGATATTTAAAGTTAGGAATGGTTTAAAGGTACTGTATATATATTTTTGACAGCTATATAAGAAATGATCTAGAGATGCAGGATTTCAGAACTACTTTTAGCATCTTCATTTGTTAAAATACTTTATTAGTTTAAACATTATATCAGAAGCAAATTCTTTCTGGGATCTTCATCTACTAGTACCAAGCCAGAGAATTCTACAAAATTTGCAAAGCATATTGAAGATTATTCAGGAACTATGTCAGTTAGCATTAGTTCACTTTTACAAAACAGCATTCAGGTTGTTGAGGTTGCAAAAATGCTTAATTTTGGATCCCAAAGGGTATGCTTTTACTTTTGTGTGCCTGTAAAAATTCTAAAGATAACATATCTAAAAGGACACACCCAAAATCTACAGGCCCTAAGAATTATATTACCATAGATAAGCACTTTAAGTGGCAGAAAGTAGGTGCTTAAGTGTCCTTCTCAAATTAAACTACAAAAGGATAAAGTCAAGTTTGCATTATAACTTTCTGCTACATTTTGCACAAAATACTTTTCACAATAATATGATGATATAAGATTTTATAGAACTTTATATTTTAGAAATATTTCACAATCTGAACATTTTAAGATTTTATTTTATTTCCACTTTATTTTTTACAATTCCTTGTTTGAAAATTTCTCAGTTATTTGGACTGTTATTTATTAACAATTTTGTTACTGCATTCATTATCTTTTTTTAAATATTTATACTAAAGTAAATCAAAATATATAGAACCTGCAAAGTATTCTAAAGATAGAACTGTTCAAAGCTTCTGCAAAAAGAGCTGAACATTGCACAGGAGTTCATATAAACGCTCGGCTTTGAAATATCAAAGCAACTGTGTTGTTGGCAAGCTTTGTGGGGCTGCTTCAGATATTATTTTTCTCTCTCTCAGTACTCATGAAAATAGCCACAAGAGTCTTATGGTTTGACCATTTGGAAACAAGTGTTGAATATGTTCCTTAACAGATTAAAATTCAGTTGCTGTACTATAGAAATATTAGTTGTTTGCATTTTTGTGTCTAGTAAAGAGGGTAACTGATAATATCTTGAAGTTGTAGTGGTAGTCCTAAACTTAGAATCACAGTTGTGCCCAGTGTCCACCAGCATATGGAAACCTGCCTAGGGTTGGGAGGCATTGGCCAGCTAGGCCACCAGCACACAGCCCTATCCCTGCCCTACCACACTGGTCCACTTACCTTTGCATCACTTCACTCCATCCTGCACATGGGTTCCATTCTTGTGATGGTTCAGAAGGCTTCTCCAAACCATCATCAGAATGGTGGCATTCAGTAGCATTTTCTGCTTTGGATAAGAAAATGCAAATACAGCATTCTGAAAGGCTCTGAACCTCAGTATTTCAGAATTCTGAGACTTGGAACCTTTAGCATTTTCTCCTCCAGAATCTACTTCTTTCACTAATATCCTTCTCTCCAGAGGAGAAAATGCTAACCAAGCTGGCATCTGCTCAGAGCCTTTTAGAATATCAGCTGTGTTAATGTCAGACTTGCAGATTCCCCTCCCTGCACAGAAGTCTCAAATCCATTGTCTCCTTTGTCCCCAGAAATCTTAAATGGCAATTGCATGGTCACAGGGTACTTGGCAACTCATAAATGTGAACAGGTTGCCAGACTCCTGAAATGCAGTCATGTGAGCTGTGGGGAGGGCGGAGTAATGTTCCAGAAGTATTTTACGTGGCTGTTGTAACTGAACAGTTGTTAAATGGCCAGTTGTAAGCTGAGGACTTCAATTAAGCTTCCTATTACTTGTGTTCCAAAAACAATAAATTTTCAGTGTTTTTTTTTTAAATAAGCCCATTATGATTTTATTAAAAGGAAAGCTACAAACTTCTCTGGGGAGATAGGAACCTAGTATTGTAGATATGTCCTTAGAGGTTGAGTTGTGTTCTGACCCAAACCTTGTTCCAGGGAAACAAACACGAAACAGAAGTAACAGAAAAACCTTTTAATGATTTTTTTATGAATTCCGTTCCTTCACAGTTAAAAGGCTGTTTCAAATTAATTATCTCTAAGAACGAGCCTTAAGAAGGTGGTGCAAAGCTGCCAAGAACATTAGATAAAGTTACTAAGAAAGATTTCAAACACAAAGAGTCTTTAAACACCAACTAAGATATTCCGAACGTCCACAAGGCTTGAGTGCAAAAACTTCTTTGCTTCCTGTAAAGAACTCTGGTTTCTCAGCTGGCTTTTATCTCTTGAGGGAGAGGCCATTACCTTGCAGCCTTACTCCCGAGTCGCCCATGCTGCTGCAGCTGCTCTTTCCTTCGAGCAGCCCTGCGCGCATGCGCACTGGACACAGGCTCCTCGGGAACCTCTTCATCACTGCTGCCAGCCTCCATAATCTCCAAAGGAAGCATTCCACTCCCTGAAGGTCCAGGTGCCATCCCTGCATCACACACAGGCCCCTCATCTGAGTCCTTGCTCTCCAAGACCTCAGCCATCCGCACCTGCTGCCAGTGAACCACAACAAGTTGATTGTTTTGATGAACAAAGCCTATTTTACCTTTAAAAAGAAAAGTTATATTTTGCAAAATGTAACTCATAATACAGGTAGTTCTCAATGACCTGTCATCTAGCAACCCATTTAGAGTTACGATATATCTCCCCAGTACTACTTGCAACCTGATTTTAAAGATCTGATGACTGCATTCTTCCACTCACTTGATTGTATACTGGGTACTTGGTAACCAGCTCACATTTAGGACTATTTCCAGCAACCCATGATCACTGCAATTTTCAGTGGTTTTTGCTGATTTCCAGTATTTACTTCCTATTTCCAGCAAAAACAGCCATGGGGGGGGGGGAGGGTTGGCTTAAGAACCATGGTGTTCACTTAACAACTGCCACAAAAGTAAAAACAGGTGCAACACATGATGACCTGCTTAATGATTGCCACAATTTATTGCCATAATTACAGGCTCAATTACAGTCCTAAGGCAAGGACTACTTGCAGTAGTATGTGATGCGGTAACAGTGAAGGATACCAAATGTACACGGTAGGAGCAAAGCTGGAAAGAGCTTGAAGGAATATAGAGGGACTGATACTTTTCAAGTTAGAAGATGGGTATATTTACTCTACAATGGCATCTACTTAGATGTTAGAGCCAATTTGGCATAGTGATTAAGGCATCAGGCTAGAAACTGGGGGACTCTGAGTTCTGCACCATTTTAGGATGAAACCAGATAGATAAGCCGGGGCCAGTCATTTTCAGCCTTAGAGATAGTGGCAAAACATTTCTGAAGAACTTTGCTAAGAAAACTACAGGGAATTGTCTAGGCAGTATCCAGAAATTGGATACAATTGAACAGAAGAAAAAACAAACAAACCTAGATCTACTCACTATGATATTTCAACACCCACCATGACATCTTATCATGGAAATCTATCAATATGGGTTGCTCTGTAACATAATCAGGCTTCTGCTCCAGTTTCTTTGCATTTTGAAGATGAAACGCTGCAATTGCAATATTACCTGAGAAAAATCTTTGTCACATCTTGTTTTCTTTAATTTTTTTACACACAATTTAACAGTACAGTATTTGGTTGTCTAAAGTGCCTAACCCATCAATATTATGTGTTACCTTTTGGTGATGTGTACCTATTCTATGTGTATATTTTTATCATCTTTCTGTGGAGATGCAGATCAAATAATGCAAGATTCATTTTTCAGCAATTCATTTCACAAAGGTATTTGTTATTTAAAGTGAGACTTTCATCTTCTCTTTAATTTTTGAATGTTAAGTATACTTGGATATATTGCAAAGATTTTAAGTATCTTGGTGATAACTAGTTCATTATTGCAAAATATTGCAAAAATAAGGACAATAGAATAGAACAGAACAGAACGGAATGGAATGGAATGGAATGGAATGGAATGGAATGGAATAGAGTACTTTATTGGCCAAGTGTGATTGGACACACAAGGAATTTGTCTTGGTGTAAATACTCTCAGTATACATAAAGAAAAGGTACATTCATTAAGGTGAACAAGTTCATGAAAGACACAGTAGATTTTTTTCAATCTGCACAGCTCACATTTAAAAATGAACCAAGCATGTACCTACTACTAATATTCAATAAGAGCTAAACATAGTGCATACAGGTCCACACATATACAACATCTATTATTAGAATTCTATTCTACCATTCCACCATCAGATCAAAATAGCAGCATTCTTACCCCCCTTTTCCTCCAACAACCTGGTGAGGTTGGACTGAGAAAGTGATTGCTCCAAAACCACTGAAGTCCAATGACTAATGGTGGACTTGAACTTGGGTCTCTCCATTGCCGTTCCATTACCACACTGCCTCACCTCTTACCATACAGTACTGTAAGTTCCATTAGAATGCCCTACTAACATTTTCTAGCATAATAAAAGACTCTTTCTAACGTAATAGCAATGATGAAGTTTAGACTCTCCTTTTCCACTGTATATGAAGTTCCTTTCTCAGCAAGACCACTGTTGCCTGTTTATGATTAATCTGTAAACTGCTCTATTTTGGGCTCAAATGTCTTGACACTTCGACATAGCTTCTGTGATGATTTAAGAAAGTTGTCGCAATTAAGCTGGTAATTCTTGTTTTTATCTTTAAAATGCTTAGACTGAAAATCATTGAAAACATGACCTAATTCCATTCCCAAAATGCCTAAGTCCCAGAGCATGTCATTCAAGGTGAGTGACATAGGGATAAGTAGTATCATAGACTGGCTCATTTGTAGGTCAGTGTATGAAAAGCATCTGGTATAGGTTTCAAAACTAATTTCCAGAGGAGAATGAAGTCTAGGTACAGGGAAACTTCTTATATCTTTGTTTTCAGTTAGATCATGTGAAAGCACAAACCCACAGAATAATAAAATGAAAGGATTATTTTCTTGGCTTATCTGTGGACAGAGATTTCTTAAATTGGATTACACTAATTAGTATTGGAATGACGTAGTATAGATCCAGCTTTAATTATTTGAAATTGAAACAGTTTCTCCTTTGTATAGAAGGGACAACCACAAATAGTTGCATATATTATTTGCCAATAATCTTTTATTAATGTGATTATTTAGAAACAAAAAACAAATCTTGCTGATTTGAAAAATGTATTGGCACTTCTTCAATTTTGGCCTGAGGAAGATGGAAGAACTAAATAGTGTCCTGGCTAGAGGGTTGCCCCTTTGAATCTTCAAGATCTGAGTGGTGGCATATCTTTCCAATTCTACCCTTAACCCTTTTCAAAGAAAGGGTGGTTTGAGGAGAAGCTTGGTACCACCAGCGTTGTGAAAAAGATGGCAGTGATGAAAATCAAGTTTAACCAGAAGAAAAGAGTAAAACTAGCACAAGGATTATGGCTCATGAATTGGTTTTCAGTTTTTGCTGGAATTGTTGTTTTTTCTATGGGACTTTTCCTGAAAATTGAACTCAGGAAGCGAAGTGAAATGATGGACAATTCTGAAAGCCACTTTGTGCCCAACTCTTTAATACTGGTAGGTCTACTTGCCTGTGCATCCAATGCTCTTGCTGGCAAGATATGCTACGATTCCCTGGATCCTGCTAAATTTGAAAAATGGAAATTTTTCTTGAAATTCTATTTAACCACATGTGTAGTTTTTAATGTCTTCATTTTTTTAATTGCTCTTATTTGCTTTCTGATGAGGGGTTCTCTTGACAGTACGCTGGCAGATGGGTTAAAAAGTAGTATGAAGTTCTACCGTGACACAGATACTCCAGGAAGATGCTTCATGAAGAAGACAATTGATATGCTTCAGATTGAGTTCAAATGTTGTGGAAATAATGGTTACAGAGACTGGTTTGAGATTCAGTGGATCAGCAACCGATACTTAGATTTTGGCTCCAAGGAAGTGAAAGAGTAAGTAGTTGAAAGAAAATTAATTTTGTCATATGGTTTTTGCCTTTAAATCTTGTGTTTATATGTCATTCAGATTTTTTTAGAAGTACTATCATGAATGGCCA